AAGCATTTCTAAGTGAGGAATGGAGGAAGATCACTCTGACAGTGAGATCAGTGGATGTTTTATTGCCACAAATTGAACCTAAGACCAGAGATGACTTTTTAAAACATTCATGTCAACTGACGATCGACCCAGATACAGTCCACAAAAATCTCTTCCTGTCTAATCAGAACAGAACCGTATCAGACAGTGCTCCAAATCCAAATATCTATCCTGGATATAAAAAAAGGGACAGGTTTTCCAACCACCAGCAGGTCCTGAGTAAGGACAGTCTGATTGGACCTTGTTACTGGGAAGTGGAGTGGAAAGGGAAAGGCCTTTCAGTAGCCGTGACGTACAAGAATAAAAATAAACTGGATCAAAGTGATTTTGGAAGTAACAATAAATCCTGGGCATTAGAGTGTTACGGTGACTGCTACAAATTCAGTCACAATAAAATCACAACTCCCCTCTCAGGCCCTCTGTCCTCCAAAGTAGGAGTGTACGTGGATCCCAGAGCAGGTGTTCTTTCTTTCTACAGCGTCTCTGACACCATGGCCCTCCTCCACAGAGTCCAGACCACATTCACTAAGCCGCTCTATGCTGGACTGTGGATTTGGAAGAGTTTTTGGGCTGACAACACTGCTACATTTAATGAGATAAAATAGACCGTCTTCATTGGTTTGTGAACCCATCTTGTTCTTTCCTTTACTCACTGATCAAATGCCATCATCTTAAGCCAGGTGTCACAGGGAAACATGAAATATTGATTAAAATCTGATAGATTTCTTTGTGCACAGGAACTACAAATCAGTAGCATCAGTCATAATGAATGCCAGTGTTTGCACATGTATCATTAATCAAAATGTGAGATTAGTTTTGTACGGTTTATACTGTGAGGTTTTCTGTCGCACTGTATGAATCATTCATGAACTTTCTCAATCATTTCTTTTCTCAATCATTTTTTACTTCTTCCTTTCACTTTTTAAGCATTTTAAGAAAACTGTAATGATGCGTTCAGTACACCCATAATAATATAAAATCAGTTGTACATTCTTAGAAAAAAATCATGTTTAACAATAATTATTGAATGCTAAAAAGGAATTTGTGGCAGTGCTTATACCACCTATGACAACTGAGGAAGTTCAGGGTCTCTCCAGTGATCCTCAGGACTTTCTATACAGGCACTGTAGAGAGCATCCTCACACAGAACGTCGCATCCTGGTTTGGGAACAGCTGTGTCTAGGACAAAAAAGCTCTTCAGAGAGTGATCTGTACAGCAGAACGCTGCTGCAGGGCTGCTCTCCCCTTCCTACCGGACATTTACACCAAAAGATGCAGGACCAGAGCAGCTCAGATACTAAAGGACCCTTTCCACCCCAGCAATAAACCGGTCCAGTTTCTACACCATCTGCAGAAGGTTCCCCACCATCTGGGCAAGAACAGAGAGGCTGAAGAGGAGCTTCTACCCTCAGTCAGGCCATCCATGTATTAAATCAGGACATGCCACATTTTATTGATTCGTTATTGTGTTTGTAACACTTGTGATGAGCACAGATATGACATGTGTCATGATCCTGGGTCTTATGACCCAGCGGTTTCAGTTTCTTGTGTTTTGTTCTTTTGTATTATGGTTTGAGTCCACCTTGTTACTTTAAAGTTTAGTCTGAATCACTAGGTTTTTATGTTTATTTTTTGGTTGTTAGATTTCCTGTGTCTTTGCTCCTGTGTCTCCCTCTGTGTATCTGTAGTCATATAGATCTGAGTTCCTGTGCCTTGTTTCCCCTCGTGTTTTATTCCACGTTTCTCCAGCCCGTTAATAACGGGCCGTTATGTCTGCGCTCTGGCAACAAAGAACTGTGCGTGTGTGAAGTGCATTTCACAGTATCAGTCTAATGAACTTAAACCTACACCATCCTCCCTATTCTGGTATTCTAAACAGTACCCGAAAGTAGACTGCTTGGT